GTCAGGCCCAAAGGCTTTAAATGTAGCTGCAGGTATGGGATGAGCGATTGAGTGAGCAAAAAAGCAGGGAAAGGGTGAACCTGGAATCCACATCCCAGCTGCAAGTGCCAGTACAGCACAGGGAATCACATCTGCTGCCCTGCTCTACTCCACAGGCCGCGGGGGAGCCCTGCTTCCGGATCTGCCCTACTTTGGAATATGATTTGCAGACACCTATTGACCGAATCCTTGCGGGATACAGTTTCAGAGTGAGGTCACACATCTCTACAGCACATGAAATGCATTCTCGTCTCTCCAATTCAGCAATGAGGTTGCTCTGATGATCCAGATCTAATCTCATCTGTAAACAATGCATGTAATAGAAATTACACATCCTCCTCCAAAAGGAAAAGAATATATTCAATTGTCTGAGAAGTTTAGGCTCAGTCTGTTCAGCTGGACCTGGTGTGGGATACTTAGCAAGTGACAGAAATGCAAAGCCACCCTGATTACAGACGAAACAAACTCTCGGGCCCTGATGCTTCAAAATCTGACTCATGAGGGTGGAGCCCTGAATCTCTGCAAAGCCCCAAGAGGGATCCATATGGGCACAGGTGTCCACTTGAATTAATCAGGTTACGAGGTCAGGGCTTTAGTTAATCCAAGGGAAGCCGGCAAAAATGTGGGATCCATCAGTGTGTTGCAGGGCCAGGTAGAAAAACGATCACCGGTGGGACAGGAGTGAGAAATCACATCTTTGTCAAAATGTAACCATTTGGGGAGCTGGTCCCCAGTTATGTCTTTATCTTCGTGGCTGGTTTTAGCAAAATATAATCCGTCAGTTGCAAAAAAAAATCCCCGACAAACCCAAAAGAACCCACTAGTGGATGAATGTGAACAACTGAGCACCATTGCCTCATGGTGAAATTTCATGAGATTTGCAACAAGCACCAAAGCATTTCTTGCCCTGGGCTAAATTTGCAGTTGTACTTGGGCGGTTCCATGTGGCTGTCTTGTGTCACTGCTTCCCCTCGTTTGCGGGGAGCGCCAGGTGAGTGACTGATGGATATTGGGCAGCCCCAGTTGCTAGGCAATGTCTGACTCTGTACTGTTTGTTACCTGAACTTTTAGGGTGAAATCACCCTGTGTAGAGGGCCAGCACAAGGTCTAGACGCCACTCCAGGATGATCAGGAGCCCAGTTTTTGATTGGAAAGTCTGGTTGAAAAGGGGACCAGAGAGTGTCCGGTCAGATTTACTGAGTCTAGTTTACAAAGAGTTACAGAGTCCAGTTACTGCAGGCGAGGGAGGCGGGGAGGCGCCAGGTCATCACCCGCACCAGCCTCTACTCAGCCGTGGCTGCCTCCTACCTTCGTTGGGTGGCTGCAGCTCCCAGCCCCAGCCCCACAGGTGAGTCCCTCCTGACCCGAGCGGCAGGGGATGGAAGGGGAAAAGCAGTGAGCAACGGGGGGGAGTGGATGGGGCAGGGGTTTGGGGGGAAATAGGCAGGGCAGGGGAGGTTGTGGCA